GGGGGGGGGGAGGGTATATGGTTTAGGGTTTAGGGTCTAATAATGTTGGCGGACAGACGGTCCCCGTCGCCCCGACCCGCGTGCAGGGAGACTGCGCGCACTCGACTTTGAGGGGGCCAGCGGCATGGCCGGCTTTGGCACCCAGCAGTGGTACAACGCGCCGAGCAGCACCCTGCGCGGGTGGGCCAAGGCGGCGGAGTACGGGGTGCTGCTGAAAAACAGCAGCCTCGGCGTCGCGCGCAGGCGGCAGATGAGCGGGCACGTCGCGAGCCTCGTCAAAGCGCAGCGGGCCGCCGTTCGGGGGGCTGCGCGCGTCACGGCCAGCGGTGCTCCCCCGGGCGCTGCGCAACACCAGGGAGGTGCTGGAGCGGGAGCTGGGGGACGGCTTCCTCGGCTTCGCGGCGGAGCTGCTGGCGGCGGGCAGCTACGAGACCGCGGGGGCGCTGTCGGCGGCATTTGCGTCCCAGCTGCAGCACGCAGTCGTGACCACCGACGCCGCCAGGCTCGCGGCCGTGGCCGCGGCGGCGGGGGCGGAGTGCGAGATGGCCTTCAGCGTGCTCGTCGCGGAGGAGCTGGAGGCGCCGCCGCGGGGCGAGTCGACGCTGCTCGACGCGACGGCGCTCGACGGCGGGCCCCGGCCGCTGGCGTTCTTTGCGGCGCCGCCGTCTGGCGCCGACGCCGCGGGCCGGGCCGTGGCGTTCAAGCTGCGCCACCACCTGTGGCGCGGCGCCCTGCTGACCAAAGAGGCGGCGTGGGGGACCGCCGCGCCGGCGGCCACGGAGCTGGGGGCCGTGACGTCGGTCGTCGGCCTGCAGGAGCCGTGCATGCTGCGCGGCCTGGGCGGCACGGCGTCCAGCACAGTGACCCCCCAGGGGTTCGGCGCTGAGGGCACCCTGTTCGTCCTCGACACCGCCATCGGCGTGGACGCGAGCGCGTTCGAGAGCGGCTGACGACGGGAGGCCGCGCACGGCGGGGTAGGGGCAGCGGCCACCGCGGCGGAAGCCCGCAGTGGCCGGCCGAGAGGGCGGCGGCGAA